TGACGTCTGAAATATGGGACAGAAGACGGTAAGACATCAGCACCTATTTTCACTCTGATGTTCATTGATTCCATCCTAACTGTATAGGACGTGGTGTAACCTAGACTGGCGCAGTCGAGGCGATTAATTTGTTAATCGTCTCATTTTAAAATTTCCATGAAACGAGAAACAGAGAATTTTTTTTTCCTGGCCTTACAGCGAAGGTTTTTGATATTATGAATATATTATGAAACAATTCTCAATCTAACCTATTTAAAGAAACCCTCCTAAATTCATATCCTGCTGTTAATTTGTCATTACCTGTACACAGGGGTAGTACCTCGTAGATTTCAAAATGTGAAGGCAACTTAAAGATTATTTGTAATTATAATTATAAAGTACAATAATATTACGAGAATACCTCACAAAGACAGTACAGCTGGAGTATCGACTGACGCGCAGCGGGGGTTGATGCGCTGCGTACTGTCTGAGTGCATACTTTGAGGTATTCTCATAATAACCTTATTATTATACATCTTATTAGAATACACCATGGGAATGTCGAAATCCAAAAAGTTTAGAACAGAATCAACAAAATTCTTTGTGTGGAGTCCGGTCAAACTCTGGTGGCAGCCATGTTTGTTTTTATTATTAGAGGACACTTGCGCGCATATTCATTCGATATTTGGAATTCGTATTTCCTTATATGGTAGGATGAAAATAACCCCTAAAATAAAAATTACGGCACGTTGTAACTTATGGCATTATGGTGACAGATGTATAATAATATTTATTAATGATATAAACTGAAAGTGGTTTTACTTTTTTCAACAGACGTAGTTATGTTGTCCCATCTACACTAGTCCATGGTATAAAACTTGTATATCCCATGTTTAGGGGATTTGTGCAACAGGTAAAAAAATACGAATAGTTCTATTTCTGTAGTCTCGTATATCAACTAGATATAAAGTTAAATTTGTTGTTACTATTTATAAAACAATCGCTCAAGTGAGATAGGAATAAAAAAAAAGACATTTTAGTTCCAACTTGTTTGTGCTATAAACATTAAACACATTTCTTGAGCAAACTAAATATTGCATATTATTGGTACTTGATATTACCAAAATTTTAAAAAACTACCAAATATATATAAACAAAAAATAAATAAAACAAATAAAAATAAAAACTAGGCAACATTAATCGTAATGTTTTTTCTCATCAGGATACCCAAGAGTTTCTCCGATGTCTAATGGATCGAATGCATGAAGAATTAAAAGAACCGCTACCGACTTTTGATGATGATGACGACGAAGAAGATGAACCCAAAACTGTTCACACATTAGGGCATCGTAGAGAACGATCGCGCGAGTTGGTTGTGTTACCAGACAGTGAGACTCATTCACTGAGTCCCGGCAGTGCCGATACACTGAGTGTTTCCGGCATTCGTATTTGTGATCATTGTTTGAAAGGTACAAAATGCACTGTGCAAGAATGTACGAAAAGTAGTACAAGCAAGAAACATAAGAAAAGAGATAAAGGTCGGAAGAACAAAAACCATCCGGATACAAATAAAGATAAATGCGAGAAGTGTGCTTGTGAAATTAAACTGGGAGGGGGTAGTGGAAATGATGTACAATCACGGAGTACAGATGTGACTGATACTGTGGAAACTAAGGCACAAAAGGAAGAATCACAACGAAGTCCAAGGAAAGGAGACTTACATGGACGTAAAGAGTTTGGTAAGTGCCTCTGTATTTGTTTGTCTAACATAGGATAGGTATGAGCATCACTTTCATCAATTAACGTATTTACAAACTTTTTCACATGTGTTGTATATGTAGCATGGGTCCCACATTGAATATGACATGGTGCGATGCATTCAGAAATTTTGTTAATTCAGCAAAACCAGTTTCTATTTATTGATTCAATGTTCAATGTAGCTGATGGCTAAAGTTTGTATGCCTTAATTGCTTAGTATATTAGTCCTAGTTCAGACAAATTTTAATATGTGTGCATACATCAATAGCTGTATCTCTGAAACCCCTGGATAAATTCTCTTCAAATTTCACTCATACATTGTACTTAACTTATCTGATACATAGGCATGTTGTGATTACTGGAGGTTGCTGTGCTATGCTGTTGACATTTGTTTTCTTGCTATAAACGTGATATAATTCATTGTCACATGCATGGTGAAAATGCCATGAGATACAGATTTTCACGTTATGTTATGTTGTTGTTATCTTACACACCAAAACTACTCTTATTACTCACTTATAACAATCAGGATTCTATGTCTTTAACATTCAAATACACAATCATATACAGGGACTATGCATTGGAAAATGCTTATCCTTCTACACTACGTGTATATACACATTTTGTGATTGAAAACTTCTGTGTTTGTCAGATTCTGATCATTATTGATTGTGTTACAGGTAAAAGGAAAAAGAAGAAATCAATCACTTATAGAAGTGTGATATCAGATATCTTTGATGGTAAAA